AGGACTCCTGGGGAGTGGCTCCTTGCCTGACACTGAAACAGATGCTTGTTATATCATTGGGCCTTTGCTCTTCTACATATGCCTGAGGGTGGAAAGCACCTTCAGGCAGGAACTCTGATGCAGGGCCCTCCAGAGGACTGAGGCCCACTAAAGCTTGGACTTCCAGAAAGAGTCGTGGAGCCTGAGGCTGATCTGTCACTTCAGGGTTACTTTGGCAGAAAGACTCCTGTGTGTCGGGTGGGGTTTCTCAAGAAGAGAATAGAGAAGGTCTTAAATCGGAGTGAGGAAAAAGAGAAAAATATTTCCTAGTCTCTTTGAGACCAGTAGGCAGTTTAGCCTGGCTGCTAAGGTGTGGCAGCTCTCAACGCTTTTCTGAGGTAGGCAAGATGAAGGTAGCCAACAGCAAGACAGAGGGCTGGCAAGGAAGGGGTCTGAGCATGGACCTGGACCCTTACCACAGCTGTCAAGATCCTCTGAGTTTTAATATCTCATTCCCATTATCCCCAAAGTCCCAGAGAGGTCTCATGAAAAGTAAGTTTCGTCTCAGCTGTTCTGTGGAAAGCCATGTGCTATGCTTTCAATGTGCCCCCGATGTTCATGTGCTGGAAATTTGATCCCCAATGCAAGAGTGCTGAGAGATGGGACCTGTAAGAAGTGATTAGGTCCTGAGGTTCTGTCCTCATGAATGGAGTAACAGCCTTATCCCGGGAGTGAGTTCCTGATTAAAGGATGTGTGCAGCCTCCTCCTACTCCCTCTCCCTGTCTTGCCCCTCCGCCTTCTGCTGTGGGATGATGCAGCAATGAGGCCCTTGCCAGATGCAGGCCCTTCACCTTAGACTTCCCAGTCTCCAAACCTATAAGAAATAAATCCTGTTCAGTCTTAGGGATTATGTTAGAGCAGCACCAATGGACTAAGATACCACAGAGGATCACAGAGGCGCAGACGCAGGGAGGGCAGTGTCCAACCCCCGCACAGGCCAGAAATGCCAGAGCAGCAGCTGCCAGGTGAGCAGGGAGCTGAACCCAGACATAGGGCAACCTCACAGATGTCACCAACAAAAAGGTGCATGTGGTGACAGGGGAGAATGCTGGCACTAAAGAACCCTGAGCACCTTTGAGGTGGCCTCCTGGGAAAGGCTCCAATATCTAGCAGGCTTCAAGGTATGGAAGGAAGGGAATGATAGCGATTTCTAGAAGTGGGATGCAAGGGGTTCGTGCTGTCAGAATTATCTGGAAAATGAGATCTGAAAGATAAACTGCACATAAGGACTTCCCTTCTAAGCACTTAGCCCCAGTTTCATCTTTATTTGCAACTGTCATTGCCTGTCTTCCCTTCTAGGCTGTGCTTCATGAAGGCAGGAGCTGTGTGTGTTTCACTCATCACTGTCTCCCCAGTTCCTCGCTGGCACACAGTAGGTACCCAAAAAATGGGGTGGATAAATAAACAATTTAAAATTAAAATGTTCTGGAGTGTCTGATTAGTCTCCTTTCTCTGTGTGGCTCACCTTTTATTTATTTATTTATTTATACCAAGAAAAGTATATTTTCAAGGAAAGGAAGACATGTCCTTGATGGAAAAAGAGTCATCTCATAAATATAGCACTGCAGCTTCCGTCTCTGAGTTGTAGGCATTTACTTATTCATTTATTTAGAGACAATTGAGTTGTAGGCATTTATTTATTCATTTATTAAGAGACACTGTCTCTAATAGTAATGAATAAATAAATGCCTACAACTCACTCTGTTGCCCAGGCTGGAGTGCAGTGGTGCAATCTCGGCTTACTACAACCTCTGCCTCCTGGGTTCAAGTGATTTTCCTGCCTCAGTCTCCCAAGTAGCTGGGATTACAGGCACACACCACCACACCCAGCTAATTTTTTTGTATTTTTAGTAGAGATGGGGTTTCACCATGTTGGCCAGGCTGGTCTTGAACTCTTGACCTCAAGCGATCTGCCCACCTCGGCCTTCCAAAGTGCAGGGAATACAGGCATGAGCCATGGTGCCCGACCATAAGCATTTATTTAGATGGGCAAAGGAATGTGGGTGAAGGTAAAATGTTTATTTTTGGAAACATGGAAACATATCCAACAATGATTCTCAGTGATGTCCAGCTTGATGCCCCTTAGACACTGCACAAGAGTGGCTTGTAAATTAAAGGTTACATTCTGCACACAGGCATTGTAGCAGGGAGCACTTCTTACGGCATTACAATTCTTTGAAAACTGACCATCCACACAGGATAAAACCGCATGCACTACCTTTGGCAAACACTAGTCATCTATGACATATAGTCACTACTCCAGGCACGTGGCATCACAAAGAAGCACGAGACCCACCCCAACTCTGACTGCAAGGGGAGAGAAGCATGTGTCACTCCAAGATAGTGTGGGTGTAGAACAGAAAAGAGAGACTATTTCAGAGAGGACTGCAGATATCGGAAAAATACATTGAGAAGTTTAGCAAATAATCCCCAGCCCCCTACCCTAAGAAGCCTCCCCTGATACAGAGAGAAGGGAAGTTATTGAATTAAATTTTTATAAATGAACATTTGGCACCTTTTACCTCAAGCAGCAATGGGACCTAAGCTCATTTTAAAGCAGTTGTGCTACACAGGGTCACCAGTCCATCTGGTGACTAACTTGCAGGGCTGCATGGTGGCAGTACTTAACAGGCTCTGTGTGTGGGGAGAAATTAATCCTACAGCAGCTACGACAGACAGAGAGAGGTCTCGCCCCAATCCACAGCAGGGCTTCCTCATCTGCTGGAGTCCTGTCTAAGCATCTCTGCAGCCTAGCCACCACAGAGCGCTTTGCACTTTGGTTTGGATGTTGACTTAATATGAAACTCCAGATAAAAGAAATGAGAAGTCTCTCTTCTCACCATGCCCTCCCCGCCTTCCTTGAACTTGGGGCCAGACCTCTGGGGAATGAGACGCTTATCTGCAAACAGTCCAGAGGCCAGTACCAAGAGGGGACTCCCACCTCTCTCCCTGTTAGGGCTTTCAGAGGGAGCCCGGGCAGTCTCCACCTCGGCCATGCAGAGCTGGGTAATTACCGGGCGGATGAGCTCAAGCCCCTTGCCCTGCTCACCTCCCACTAAAATGCATGGCACAGCACAATCATGAAATGTGCTTATTAATTTTACTCATTTGACACTGCGCTCTTCTGCCCTGAGCTAGATGTTAGAAGAAAATGATAGGGATAGATTCTGCTCCTGTCAGACTTACCAAGACTTCCAGAAAACCAAACTATCAAAGGCCATCTGCCACCCACTAGCCAAGCATGCAGGATGACCCCAAACATACAAACGGAATGCTAAAGATACAGATCAACAAAAGAGGGCATGGGAAGATGGTGAGACCACTGCCCTGTCATGCTCCCTGTGAGCCCTCCTAGGAGAGTGACCCCTGAGCCCATCCTCTCCCACAGTGGGAGCTCCCAGTCCCTGCTTTGATTCATGACTTGCTGCTTCATCCCTAATTCATCAAAAGACACTTTGGCTTCTCAAATCAGGAACATTTTTATTAGCTTCCCCCAGAGTATCATGGCACAAAGCCATACCTAATGATTCTATTTTATGGAAACATACACATTCAAACCATGCTTTGAAGTCAAGCAGTAGGTAAGACTCAAATCTTTGTCAGAAAAGATTTCTTCATTTTTTCACTTTTAAAATGTTTATGAGCTTTCGAACAGTTGGGAAAGGGATGTGTAGCATTTGAACAGGCTCTTCCTTCCTTACTGAGGAGCCAGCACTGGCTGACCCAGTACAGATTCGCATTGAACATTGCAGTTCTTGATAGGTGCTGATTCTGCCCACCCACCCTCTGCTCCTGGAGACATCTGGCAATGTCTGGAGACATTTTGGGTTGTCACCACTGGGAGAGGAGGGACAGGTGCTACTGGTACTCACTAAGGAAAGGCCAGGAATGCTGCTGAACAACAGAGGGTGCACAGGATAGCACACAGCAAAGAATTATATGCTTCTCTTGCCCTAAATGTCAACAGTGCTGAAGTTGGGAAACCCTGCCTTGGGGTTTCCTTTCCTCTGCTGGACCAGGCATTGCATCCTCCTCACTGCAGGACATCAGTCACTATTCTAATTGCTGTGGCAGGTTTTCAGTTTTGGCTACTTTCACTCTTATGTATTCTTGGTGCACATTTTCAGTGAATAAGAACAAAACATTGTCACATACAAAATGAGGAAAGTAAACATAAGGCCACCTTAGAATCTCAGAACACATGATAATATCCACTGTTAAGTAAACTCTCCTAATGTTCCTCTGTACTTTGTAAGCTCCACCCGAATCAGAATTTACCTACTGAAACAACAAAACAAGCAGTTCCAATCATCACGACTACTGAGCACCAGCACAGATGTCTACTGAAAAGCAAGGAAAGTTCTCCACTGAACTGTGGCGGTGTGGTCAGCCACAGCACTGGACTTGGAGGAGGTCTGGTAGTGATGATTCACCATTATCCAAGGACTGGGACTCTGCTACTTCACTTCTCAGAGCTTGGGTTCTCCTAATTAGCAAAGAGGCAATACAGCTACTTGCCCTCCCAGTCTTCCAAAAACTCATGAGAGCTAAATGAGTTCTGGGTAGGAAACGTTTTAAACTGTTAAGAGCTACACAGATGTAGGACAATGCCTTTATAATATTTATACATGCATGACAATATATAACAACCACCAGAAGTCTTTCACAGACTCTGGATCCTTTACATGAAACGTCACAACCAGAAGTCGGAAATCAATGACTCCAACTCCTTAATTTTACAGAAGGTGAAAATGACCATCACAGAGGTGGTCAAGGCCAGGAAATGGCCCAGATGGGCTCAGGTCTTTTGACTCCCAAACCAGAATGCTCTCCACACCCTCCCTTAAGTTCCTAGAGGGAAGAAGTGCATCTTATGCAAAAGGGTCAGAGGGTCTTGGACACAGGAAATAAATACTGTAGAATCAGTGAGCAAAATGTACAAACTAGTATCTTGACTTACTACATCATAGCCTGTCGGGGCTCGGTTCCGAGAAGCCACCACCCCGACTCCAGTGATGGGATCCATTGATGTTTCTGGCAAGGCTTCTGAGAGGTCTTTGACTTCAGGCATGGTGGACTGGTCCTGGTTCAGAAAAGGAAAAAGAAAGCACAAAATTCAAACATAGCATTTACGTGAATAATATGAAGGCTCAAACAGACAGAAATAGAATCATGGGGCAAATACCGTGAGCCAAGGTCCACATACGTGAACTGGTTGAAAGAGTCCTGATCCTATGTGACCCTTCTCCCCAGTCAAGAATTCAATTCACCTCTGGTCTTCACTCTTCTCAAGTCAGCTTTGAACACTGAGCTAAAATGAGGGCTTGCCTCTACTTTCAGGAGGAAATTTTGACTCAAAACCAAGAGCAAGTAATTCTTAACTCTGCCATCCAGCTGCTTGATTTCTGAACATATACCAGTAGCTGCTCTGAAGACACAAAAGACATGGCTAAGCCTAACAACACCTTTCATCTCTCTCCCTTGCAATCTCTCCTATGGAGGCATAGACTTCCAAATCCACAGCCAAGGTTAGATCTTCAGCAGGCAGAGCTTTGCAAAGAAGCAAGGAATTTTGCAAACATAGAAATAAATGTTCTGAGCTCAGGGTGAAAGAATGGTGTTGGAGTCCAGGCTCCATACTGACTAGCTGGTGAGCTTGAGTAAGCAATTTAGCCTCCTGGAGCCTTCATTACCCAGCTATAAAATGAGGTCATGATACTGACCCTTGCAGAGCTACTGTGAGGACCAAGAGAGGTCAAAGAGAGTGGATGTAAATGAAAGGCTTGGAGAGGTCCGTGGTACACAGGAGGTGCCCAACAAAAAGTACATATGACTGGTCGGGTTTGGGACACACAAGTCCAGGTAACTGGCCAGAAATGTGATACGCATCACTCCCTAGGGTTCTGGCAGAGTCCTTTGTTGTGTTTCACCCTAGGGTCATGTGGGCACTTACTCAAAGCCAAATACTAACAATGACCATAATTCTTGCTGGGCACTTTGAGAGAAAGGGAGTGAAAATGGAATTATTATTCTGCTGACTGACTGCCTCTTGATTTGACCAGAGGAGACAGGTAGAATATAGAGAGCACTGGGTCTGGGCAGCTGGAGTGGCAGTACACCAGAAAGCAAATAAAAGAGGCAACACCATATGTAAATGAACCTAAGTACTTTTAAAAGGACAAGCAGTGAAAAAGAGCAAGTCAAATTCTACCTCTTTCTGCAGCAATTAAACTCCACTGGCTATAGGTCTGCCAGTTCTCTGAAGGCTGGTTACCGCTTCTAACACAAACCAAACACCCTACCTCACTAAGCAGGCAGGATGAATATTCTTGCTTCTAACCTAAAATCAGAAAAGGCAGAGGCCATTAAAAAGGACTGCAGCCTCCCAAATAGAGCAATCAAAATGCCGTATGCAAGTCTCCCATGAAGTCAGTGGAACCCACCAAAAGCTCCGGAAACAGACTTGCCAATGAAATGGAGCCAAGTCCTCCATCAAAGAGAGGAAGTGCCTGGCACAGCTGTAGTCTCCTTTTCTGTTTACAACAAAAAGCTTAACACAGTTATGCTTTACTTAATTCTTCTGAAAATAAGCTTCTAAATGACCAGGGCAGGGGGTATCACACTGCATCACTGCATCATTTTCTACTTTCAAGTTTCATTTACCAGGTAGGTTTATGTGCATAAAACACGGGGCTTTGTACTTCCTGCACACAGTAGGCATTAAGTAAATATTTACTGAGTGAATACACATATATGTCCCTAATAAAGGTTAAGAATTAAATATCTGCACCTGCAGATCCAGAGCAGACACTGACCGAAAGGGCTCAGCACTTGAAAAATCCCATATTATTGGTAACATGAAAATAACATTGCTGCAGTTTGCAAAATATTGGTACCTGCTGTTGGTTACCAAGAATGCTTCGCAATTAACAACTCATTAACAGAATGTAGGAATTCTGCCAGTGCTAAAATATCACGCTGTGAATTTAATAAAGAACATGTGAGGTAAGTTTTTTTTTTTTTTTTTTTTTTTTTTTTTTTAACATAGTATGGCCTCTACTAAAGACAGAGAAAAAAAGAAGGAGAGAGAGAAGGAAGTGGGGGTAAGCATGAATAAGCAATATCTTATTTGCTGATGGATTCATTGCTACATCCCCTGGTCACAATATCCTCCCCTGTACGGCGATGACAATGGCCCTCTGCCCTGGAGCCCGCTCTCAGCAGCAGGAGGGTCACCAGGCCCTGGAAGAAGCCATGCTGCTCCCACAATGCCCCGCGGTGGCCCAGGAGAAGGTTCCAAGATGGCTGCGGGCGGCCCAGCTGAGGCAGACAAAGGAGTCGGGTCTGGCCTGCCAGAGGGCCCCCACAGAGCTGTGCGCAGAGCATCTCTACCCTCCGTTCTCTCTCCTTCCCCCGAGCTGCTGTGCCCCGGACGGAGGCGGCCTCTGTGAAATATGGACAAATGGCTCCTGGCCGCGCGGGCTGAGGCCGACTCATGGAGGAAACGCCATCACCAGCCAAGGCAGCTTTTAATGAGAAACGCCCAAGATATCCATGGCAGGGGCCATCACTCAAAGCCGCTTGTCCTGAATTACATATTTTCTGACTGCAAATTACTTTTAACGGCGTCTCTACCAGCACTTCAATTGACCTTCCTAACAAAAGGCCATTTATTAACTAGCGCTCCACGATTCCTGGGCTGCGGGGAGCCTCAAGCCAGGAAGGATGGCCCCGCGGCAGAGGACTTGGCGAGGCCATTCCTGCGGGCCCACAGAGCAAATCGGATCGGGGAGGAAAGAGCAAGGGAGCCAGATGCTTAAGGCCAACATGAACTTGCCTGGACTCTCACATCAAATCTCGAGGCCTACTTGCAACAGTCCCAGGTTGTATCAACAGCCCCCCATCCAGCATCCACCTCTATGTCAGAGTCCCAACTGCCGGCAAAACCCACTAATACGTATCTGCTGCATTTGGACAGCGCTTTCCAGCTCTCAAGAAGCTTTCTCGGGCTCCTTCCCAGTTGAAGCTCACATCAAACCTGGTAAGTAGCTGGGTCACCTCCCAGGAATGGGACAGCTGGTCTTACTCCCCAGGTCTGGTCTGTTTTCCATTGTACTAGGCAGAGAGGTACCAACATGCCGTCTAATTGAGAAAGCAGTTTGAACACTAATTATATCTTAAAATGCCAAAGCTTTTCCTTCTCTAGCTACAGCTCAGTAAGTCAAACAAGGGGGAAAAAAATACAGAAAGATAAAAGTAACATGGGATTAATTTTCCTCACACCTCAGTTTCAAGATTCAACATTCCCCTCATAAATAATTTACAACAATAAAAATGAGCTAAGGCCGTGTTTGTGTAGGATGGAGGTAAATTTAGGCCTAATGAGGGAGATCCGAGCACTGCACAGGAGGGAATAGGTTGATCTATGGCACAGTGCAAGCAGGATCGACAGCTCACAGGGGCTCCATTACCAACTGGAAGTTGCAGGGCCAATTGGGAGGAGGGGGAAGCAAAAGGGGAAAACTTGTGCCATCCCAGCTGTGGCTGCAAGAAGGGTCTCTACAGGGAACCCCCAAAGTTGACCCAGTGTTTTGGATGACAAGACAAATGTTGAGATTTTTCAGAATGATCGGATTGGGCCAATCTCAGTCTATTCTCAGTACATGCTGGGTAAGGGGTAAAGGTGGTGGGGTGTCAGGGATGCAAACTGGACCTTGAGCAGGTCCTCCTACTTTAACCTCATGATCATCAGGTCCCAGATGGATCCACTCCTGGATCCACTCCGACCTCTCCCCTGAGTGGGCATGCAGCTTCTGTGAGATCATTTCCAAGGCTGGGGGCTGCAGAGCCGTACTCCAGGCAGCCATTGTCTGCCCCAAGAGGCTTCCTCTGCAAGGCAGGGGGTGTGTGTGTGTGTGTGTGTGTGTGTGTGTGTGTGTGTGTGTGTGTGTGTGGTGTGTGTGTGTGTGTATGCGCGCACGCATGCACACATATATGTATGTGCACCCACATGTATACAGACTGAGAAAGCTGGGGAGGGTTAAGGTGAAGTGTTTTCCAAGCCAGGAGGATTTCTTCCACCATGCCATGCTCAAAGAGTACCATACAACCCACACAAGGCGGGGGGCAAGCCTGCTTCCAGCTTCCGCCTGCAGTGCTGCAGATAGCACTTGAGGAGGCCCCAGCTCCCAGCGCTGCAGCACCTAGCCAAGGCTGTCATCCCAGGTTCATGGAGAAATGAACTTTAACTATAAAGACGCTTCATACAGACGGCACACTGCTCCCTCGTAGCTGATCAAAGAATTACTACAACAGTGTGCTTAATCCCTAAAAGTCAGCAGTGCTGGGCTTAACTGATGCTGAACATTGTTTCGGAATCAAAGGCGTGCCTCCCAGCCCCAGTCTAGGAGAAAACTGAGCTACTGCATCACAGTTGAAAACTCAGGGGAACTTTGATATCATCTCTGTTTAATTTCCACGGCCCTCCTGAGCCTGGGGTTTATCTCGTTTTATCAACTCCTGTACTGAAATCAAAACCCAACCAACAAAGCTGAGACCTCTCCCCACTGAGGCCCTTCCAGCGGCGGGGTGTGAGCCGAGGAGTTTAAAGTGCTTTCAGGGAGCAACAACCGCAGGGGGCAGGGGGCGCTGCCTTCAAAGGCGGTGCTGTGGGCAGCGGCCTGAGTTCCAGCCTCCCGCCATCTCGGCCTCCTGCTGTGGTGGTGAGGCAGGCTCAGAAGCGGCGCCAGCCAGCGCTGCTGGTCAGGGCTGAAGGCATGACTGGCATACAACTTTTGAGGAGAGTAATTTCAAAGTATTAAGGGGGAGTAGGCTAAATTGGGCTACTGTAATTGAAATGACAAAACCAGTGGCTTAATTACATCCCTACAGAAGGACAAACTGGTGATCAGCTTGCTTGAAATCCAAAGCCAAGGGCACCAAAGACAAAACTGTCTGCCCACATCTACCAGCTTACAGGGTTGAGGAAGGGAAAAGAACAAATATTTCATTCACCATGGGAAATGCCACAAGAGCAGATGGGCTATACCCCAGTAAAAGCTGCTGCGCCCCGGCCTTCACAGA